TTGCCTTTATATACCGTCAGCTAATGTTGACTTAGTATAACGTATTATTACATTAAAATTTATAGACGGATACACCTTCCCATGTACACCCATAAAAACTACGCTTTTTACCATTACTCACTCAGTACATCAGTACAATTGAGTAATGGAGTTTGCGTAAGAACTTAACGCAGATACGTACTTATGCGTTAAACAGAATGGGCGACCTTATAAACATTGGATACCAATTTAAAATCAAACAATACGTAAAAAAACTTCTGATGACCTGGATGATTGATGATTATCATTGACAAATAGGTAACGCCAAATGACAACATCTTTATATTTATCAAATTAGCTCAGCTCGACGTCACTCGGACCGCCGCGCCGCGCCGCGCCGCATCGATCGTATTCAACGGTTATAAATACAAATTGTTTCGTACAGCGTGATGATGATGATGATGTAATCGCTGACGTACGTGATAACGATCTAAACGGTCGCTCGTGACTTCTCAGAAGGTCGTAGCTTCGTTGCTATAAAAAGTTGGATTCCATCTCGTCAATAGAACACATAAAAATTATAAAAAAAAAGCTAAAAAAAATATTAATTAATAAAATTATTACACTGTAAAAGACTTCCTAACAGATAATCTTTTATACATTATAACAGTTTTCTGTTTGGTACTTAAATACAAAAATAAAATTGAGGAATATAGTAATCTCACATTGCCATTTGAAATCTATATAAGTCTATTGAAAATGTAAATATTTTAAAATTGTAACAAGCTTGCATCTACCAAAATTACTAAGTAGGGTTTTTTTTATTTTTAATAAAGCACACATAACAAATTATAACCTTAATAATCCTGTAATAATAATAAATAAATAGATTACATAATGTCTTGTATGGAAATATTATGAATTCCATACTAATATTATAAATACGGTTAACTACGGTTGCCAATCTACCTGCCAAGCGTGGCAATTACACTTAAAAACACTCTCAAGGGGAGTGATTTAAGACTCCCAAGAGAGAATGATGATGATGATGATTATAAATTCGAAAGTAATTCTATCTGTTTGTTCGTTAGTTTTTCACGCCCAAATCACTGCACCAATTTTAATGAATTTTGATGTAGACAAATAAGACATTGGAGAAGGAGATAGGCTACTTTATGACGTAAAAATAAAACTTGAAGAGGGTTAAATTTGTATGGGGAATAAATATTTTCTCAAGTAAGGGATATAAAGACCAATTCTATGCAGACGAAGTCGCGGGCATCAGCTAGTATATTATACATATGAGTATTAAAATTGCTAATCTCCTAAACCACTGGATGTATTTGATTTCTTTCAAGTTAAGAGAGATTGACACTTTTTATTGTTTATCCAAACAATCCAATTAGAATAAATGAACCCCGTAAAGCGCATAGCTGTTCAGATAGTTACATATAATATTAACGTCCTATCACCTTTTAATTCGTGTTTCTACCGTGAAGCAGTTGTGTTTGCATGGCTGTGTTTCGGTTTGAAGGGTGGGATATGGCGTGAATTTACAGGGTACGGAGGAATAACACCTGAGTCCTCAAGAATGGCAACGCATGGGCGAAACAGTATACTCTGTTATGTCCATGGTACTGCTCATGTCTATAGGCGACGGTTACCACTTTCCATCAGGTGGACCGTCAGCTTGTTTGCCATTCTAAGTTGTATAAAAAAAAAAAAAAGTTTATTAAATTCAACTTACTACTAGTGATAATACAATTGTACCAAATTACTAACTTTGTCTGCAAGGGCCGAACACGGAACCACATTATAATGCCATCAACCGCGTTCGTCACGTCAACAATTTTACCTAATCAATATAAAGTTAACATAGAATGTTACGTTGACTTATGTTATTGCTATTTCAAACTTTCTACCATCCAAAGTCCAAACCTGTTCTCACGTGCACATCACCAGTCCGAATATATAATTAAATAATAATCAATTAGAAAGTAATTTTCTAAATATATTAATTATTTATACTTAAATACCTAATACGTAATTTTGCCGTAATTTATGGAATTTGTTTACCAATTACGAAACTGCAACATTATGAATTTTTTTTTTATAAAACTTAGAATGGCAAACAAGCTGACGGCCCACCTGATGGAAAGTGGTAACCGTCGCCTATAGACATATGCAGTACCATGGACATAACAGAGTATACTGTTTCGCCCATGATACCCCCCATGCGTTGCCATTCCTGAGGACTCAGGTGTTATTCCTCTGTACCCAGTAAATTCACGCCATATCCCACCCTTCAAACCGAAACACAGCCATGCAAACACAACTGCTTCACGGTAGAAACACGAATGGGACAGAGGTACCCAAGCAATCGACTTTTGTACAAAGTCTCCCTCTGGAATGAATATAAAAATATAATAATATTAATACTGATACGTGATAAAGTGTTAATTTTATCTTATGTATTTCATAATAACTAAATAAGTAGAAATAAGTTAATACTATACATACAATAATAAACAAACTCCTTTGAAAAACTGTGTAACCATGTTTTACCTAATATTGTAATAACATGTTGTACTGAAATAAATAAAACGGTAAATTGTCGTAAAGAACGCTCCCGTTCCTTATGACAGCATGTGGGAAGGCCTATGTTTTTTTTATGGATGAAAATGGTATGGTAACGGTAACTCCGTCTGCGCTAATGGGATACGCTGGCGGAGCACCAGTGAAGGTGATAGGTGAGAATGAAAACAGGCCAGTTAGCCCATCATGATAAATTCATCAGGAATTAATCATGATAGTTTCCAGGGGGAACCGCGAGGAAGTCGACCTGGTTGGGTATATTGCTAACAATGGGATTCTCAGTCTCCATTACTAACAGTCCCCCTGGGAAGGCCTATGTTCAGTATTGGACAGATAACGGCTGGAATGATGATGATGACATTTTACTGCTATTTTTATTGGTCTTTTGACAAAAAATAAAATAGATATTGAATTGATACTACATTATCAACAAATTCTTGATAAATGTTACGTCAGAAGTATTAATTAAAGAATTTATAACGAACTGATTATATCGCTGTGAAATAGTAAACATTTTCCTTTAGAAATAATTTTATTTATTAGAAATAAAATAAAGAAATTTCCGGAAAAACTGTCGCATTCCGGACATGATTCTAGAAACATGCTTCAGTCCGCCGTCCGTTACAAAACAATAGTTCCGTTGCGCTTCGAATTTAAATCGTAACGGACATACGAATATGTTTACAGTCAAAATTCTTGGAACCACTCGAAATTATATCTACCGCGTATGCCCTTAAGTTTATTATACAATAACATAGAAACTATCTTGATAACCTCTACACACGAACGCGAGGCCAAAGACATCGATGCCATTTACAATTTCGGAAGTCCTCTGTTGTCTGCGTTATCGCTAAAAATAGTTATGGCATGCTACATTACCTTGCATTCGTAAACAGCAATTTTACTTGGTACCTTTTTTATAAGTAAGTACTTTATCGCGATTTTTTTATAAAATTGATATAATTATACATGTTTCCCGTCCTGGTTAGAATTTCTGTGAAACTATTAAAAAAGTAACGTGTACTAAATTTCTGTGAGATGTATAACTTGATTTGATCCATTTTTGTTTACAGTTTTCAATTTATATGCGAAACCTGACTATTTAAGTTGTGTGTAGGTTATTTTTTTATGGTTAAAGGAAATTACCTTAAGTGAATTTCTATATATATAGCTTATATCGATACAGAGTATTATTATTTTATCTATGTCTATTGTCTATACTCCTATTGCCACAAATGTAGGCAAATTCGGCAATGTATTCAAGTCTAAGAACATTTGAATTAATTCTAGTCCTTAAGTCTAATCATCCTGTGAGATAATGTATTATTGCCAATATCTTGGAAACACTTGAAAATGAACGTGAAACTGAAAATGAAACAACTACCTAAATTGATTGCAAATAGAAACAATCTACTATACTCGTATAAATTCCAAGTTTCAGTTTTTACAAAAAAAATTTCGAAATATTTATTACATACTTTATTTTCACTTTTCACTTACTAGTTTAGAACTGAAAACACTTGAATTTACCTTGAGAAACACTTGAATTTATTTAAGGTTTTCTTAAACTATACAAATGTTTTACGAGTTCTCAAGTGAATTAGCGTACACTATATCTTTGTAAATTGGAAACTCGCATGAACATAGTAAACATAGACCACCGAGTATTGTATTATTTTTTCTTATGTTTACATCCGTGGGACAAAACTCAGAGTTGACATCAATAGGGAAACGCATTGTTTCAATAAAGACTTTCAAACAGCGATCCTATTAGAAATAATTTTCCATGTGTGGTGGATATAGGTAACAAAGAACCGGTCTATTCTATACGCTCATTTCGAGTTTAGGATCGAAATTTCATGTCTATCTTTCATATCGAACCTATGCTGTAAACGGAGTGACATTTCATTCATCAAAATCCCTAGTTACCATAAAGAGACCATAAATCTGAACGACCGAAAATAAATCGTTATAAAAGTTTTTCCTTCGTAATTTTAAGATCAACTGTATATTTCGTTCGATCGGAGTTTCGAAAAGACATTCATTGTAGGCCCTTTAAAATACAGTTTTTTTTTTTCATCTCCACCGGTATGCGTCCTGACAAGGCGCGTGGGAGAATTCGTTCTTTTTATCAGGACGGTAAAATTTCGGTTGAGGCAAAGTCAAGGACAAGATGATCAGACGATGAGGTCATTGTATTGCGAATATGTAACACTCCTGCCCATGTATATGTAAAAGGCGCGACCAATAATTTTAGGGGTATACTTTCTTTATTAGCTGTTTTCCTCGGGTTTACCTTACAAGTTAAGCTAGGAAATAACACACCTGTGCACCCGTAATTTGAATCCATTTATCTTTTAAACATGATTGAGTAATAAAAATATGAACATTCAAATATAAACAAGCTTTCACATTTGAAATATTAATAGTATGTTAATAACAGACTCTATTCATGTGATAAAAAAGAATTCGTAATAATTTTTTTTTTAATTTTATTACTAAATTAATTGTTTATTAGAACTTTGGTTCAAAGTTTGGTTAAATTGCCAAGTGTTTAAGCATTAATAAAAATGTTTACTGTTATAAATAATTATGTTCGTTCAAGGCCGGCAGCACACCTGCAATACCGCTGGTGTTGTGGGTAATCATGGGCCGCGGTATTCACTTACCATCAGGTGAGCCGCATGCTCGTTTGCCCCCTGTGTTGTAAAAAAAAATGACGTATATACATATATTTATAACCATATGTATTATAATGTATGCCCGTACGGGCAAACGCAGTAGTAGTAGTGTAGGACAACCCCCCACTAGAGGGGGGAAAGGGGTTGTTAGCAATGGAGTTTGACACCCCCATTGCTAGCAATATACCCTATTAGGTCGACCTCCACGTGGTTTCCCTTGGAAACCATCGTGAACAATTCTTGTTGAATTTGTCACGGTGAGTTAACTAACCTGCTTCATCCTCCCCTATCATCCTTCACTGGTGCCCCGCCGGCGTATATTGATAACGCGGGTGGGGTTACCATTACATTATCACCTACTAAAAAACCCACTAGATGGAGTGACGACCTAAAATGCATTGCAGAAAATCAATGGATGCAGGTGTCTCACGGCAGCTTATGGCGGTCTATGGGGGAGGCCTATGTCCAGCAATGGACGGATAATGGCTGAAATGATGATGATATTTATAACATATTTATTAATGGTCAGACAGTTGACAATTTACTACCTAAATGCAAATTGATAATACAGTTTCAACTACCATGTTATATATTTATTTATTTATAGGATTACCAACATAAGATACAGCTACAATAAAGCTAAATTTTAATACAATAAACTGGCAGATTAGATCTCACTGTTCTTACATTTATAGGCAACCACAGCATGCCTTGTGTTTGACAAACATTAAAATATAATTAAATTATTAAATGAGTAAAAATATTAACAATATGAATAATAATATAATATAAATAATGGAAATTGTATTCAAGTTATTATAAAATATAAATAAATATAATGTAATGGGGTGGTATATCAACACTTTAATTTAGTCATGAATACAGAGTGACTATCGTTGTGAATATCAAGTCAAATCAATATATGCAAAATACTACTTCATATCACGTATATATCAATGACAAATGTATGAAACACGTGATTTATCCAAATAAACAATCATAATATCTGCATTATACCGACCAAAACCACGTCGAACGATGTTCACCTTGACACGAAACGCTCGGTTGTTCCTTCCGCCAGATGCTCCTGTTTTGCCGGAACGTATTCGTTTGTTTCGCCACCTGTTTTAAAAAAAAACTTACACTAAAAGGGCGCGTTTTATTATTTATTGTAACACGACACGATATTGTACTATTTTCTCGTTATAATACTTAGATATAATATAATATGATAGTGAAAGTGTGATTTTCAAATGTCAAAGCGATAGTCTTAGATTATATAGATAGATCCTCGAGCCTCAAAAACGGGTTACCTTTTTTCAACTAATTGTCAAATTAGCTGATTAATTTTTTTTATCGGTGTTCTATACACTTATGCATACAATTAATTTTGAGTTATTATTTAATAAAAAAGTATTTTAACATTAAAAAGATGCAGAATTTATAAGACAAAATAAATACAGAAGTTAAGAAAGAATTTATCCATAACTATTTATCACGTAAAATTGTATAAAAAAGTTGACTCGCTTTTCTTGAAGCATTTGTATAGAGACGCCCTATTTATATAATCTAAGGCAAAATAGTATTAGCTGTTGAAATACAACGCTGTGACGAACGAAGGATTTGACAAAAACACGCCATAAAAATAAAATAAAAATGGATCTGCTGAACGATTCATTTAAATCAGTTTTTAATAGTAGTTAATTGTTAATAATTCTTAGTTTCATAAAGTTCATTGAACGGAAAGAAAAATAATTATGGATTATTTTATAGGTATTTAGAGTTCATATGGTCTAATTATGTACTGTTGTAAATGTCATACTTATTGTATGATTTTCCTTGTTATTTATTAAACATAATATGTATAAATTGGTATTAGTTTATGATCATAAATTTATAATTGTGTTTATAATCCTGTAAACACATAATGTTATTGTTAAGTGACTTCAAAAAGGAGGTTTTCAATTCATTTATATTTTATTTTTACGTTTGTTACCTCATTACTCTGTCAGCTCTAAACCTTACAGATAGGTGCCATAGAAATTTTATCAAAATCGATCGAGGGAAGAGTAATAGGATTTAATAGACCCTTTCCTAGTAATATACTCTGTCAAGTCGGCCTACTTGCTGTTCCCCCTGGAAATTACCGTCAGTTCATTACGATCGTTATGATCGTTATGATTTTGAGAAAAACTACATCAGCATACAGTCTTATGGTCAGATCAGTAATTGATTTATTTATGCTTTCATTAAATTCCATAGACTACAGTGAACGTTTACTATCATACCCTAATTTTAAAAAAATACCTCACATACTTAACGGAGTATGGTTTACTATGAGACGGAAAGTATGCTTTTTTGCCAATTTTGTGGATTTAAAAAAAGTAGAAAAAAGTATTGTAATAGAGTATAGCAGCAACCCATTTGGTTACTTAAGAACCTTCTACTAGCGATCTATTTTGGAATATACCATCTGGATATGGTGTCGTATGGTATCGAGGTTTTAACGTCGTGCCTCCAAAAATGGTTCGCTGCTAGCTCCGCCGCCGCTAGTCCTTTTAAGGTTTCTCAACCTTTTAGGTGGTTAACTACTTACTGACGAAGGCAAGCATGGAATAGGATATATTACAGTATATATGTATATAGATATTTCAATACTTACTTTACAGATAATATCTACTATACTTGGTAAAACATTCATCATTTTCATTATCAAAACAGCAATCGTTATTTCAAAAAGGTTTTAAATTTTCCTGGTTTTTTTTAGGATTTTTATATTTAAAATTGCTAATAGTACGTATCTACATTTTACTTTGTAAAAAATAACAACTTTAATTGTAACAAAATTAATGTCGGTTATTATCTCTAATTCTTATTTTAAAATGCACCGAGCAGCGAGATATTTTGTAGACATATTAGATTTTTTTTGGTGGATGAAAATGGTATGGTAACCCCGCCTGCGCTAACGGGATACGCTGGCGGAGCACCAGTGAAGGGTGATAGATGAGAATGAAAACAGGCCAGTTAGCCCATCATGATGAATTCATCATTAATTAACCATGATAGTTTCCAGGGAGAACCACGAGAAGGTCGACCTGGTTGAGTATATTGCTAGTAATGGGATTTTTAGTCTCCATTACTAACAATCCCTTTCCCCCCGACATATTAGATAGGTAATACAAGATCAAGGCGGAAAAATTGCAAATTCACTTATAAATAAGAATCACTTATAAAAACAAGTTCATAATTGACGAAAATATGACTACAGGAATAAAATTAAGAGCCTCCTTCTACGAGTATTTAAAAAGCAAAATTCACTACGATGAAGTTAAAATTCAAAAAGCAATCGTCATTGACAATGACTTCTCACTTTAAAATAAGTGGTCTTTCTATTTTAATTGTTTGCTTGAATTTTCTCTTGATATTCGATGATCAGATCAATGACAGACAACCTCTGCCTTTTCTCTGTTCCAAAGCAGTTTGATCACAGGGTCAGTGCTCTGTCTTAAATCATTTTCATGATATTCTGTGCACATGTTTTTCTATGATTTCAATTAAAATTTATATAGGGTTATGAACATGGAAAATCTATTTCCTTCTATAAAATACAATAAAGTAAATAATAAATAATTATTATATTAAAATAAAACCAAACCATTTTACCAGAAAGAGACTTTGTACAAAAGTCGATTGCTTGGGTACCTCTGTCCCATTCGTGTTTCAACCGTGAAGCAGCTGTCTTTGCATGGCTGTGTTTCGGTTTGAAGGGTGGGATATGGCGTGAACTTACTGGGTACAGAGGAATAACACCTGAGTCCTCAGGAATGGCAACGCATGGGAAGTATCATGGGCGAAACAGTACACTCTGTTATGTCCATGGTACTGCTCATGTCTATAGGCGACGGTTACCACTTTCCATCAGGTAGGCCGTCAGCGTGTTTGCCATTCTAAGTTGTACAAAAAAATATTCTTTTTTTTTATAATAGGTGTAGAAGAAATATTTATACTTTTTTAAAACTATGTATTAGATAACTAGATTTTACCCGCGACTTCGTCGGTCAATTAGAAGGTAATTGACCTTCTCCATCCCATACAGTATATCCTTATCCATCCCATATACGTGTATATCAATTTTCAAGGTGAGAGAAAAGGTAACAAGCAAACTCACTTTCGCATTTAATTGTATAATATTGGCAAGGATAATATATTAATTTTTTTTTGCTTACCTTACCTACGTTGCATATTAAGTATGCACAATGTGAACAATGAACTTGGCAACTTGCGCACATAGACCGACTGGCTCGCCTCGACCTTGTCGGTTTGCTCCTGGTCGTCGCAGGATCCAGCATATATTACTAGCTGTATTTCGCAACTTCGGCCACATGATTTACGGGTAATATATATTACTTTATGTATTAATCTAAGATATGTATTTATGTTATAAATTTTATTCAAATTCATTCACCCATTTAAACATGATAATAAGTACAAGCAACCATTCTTTGGAATCAACTTCCAGCAGCAGTATTTCCGAACCGATACGACAACATAACCTTCAAGAAAAGAGTATATTCCTTTTTAAAAGGCCGGCAGCACACCTGCAATGCCACTGGTGTTGTGGGTGATCATGGGCATGGGCATGGGCGGCGGTAGTCACTTACCATCAGGTGAGCCGCATGCTCATTTGCCCCCTGTGCTGTAAAAAAAAGCAAACATTTACATTTATAATATTATAATAATAAGAAAATACGAGAACTCGTAATATATTTTTTTTATTGTAACGACACCTATTTTCGATTCTGCATTTTTAGCGGTAAAAATGTTGACTGGTATCTTTTTTCGGTGCTCATTTCTTCACTTGGGCTATTTGCGTTTATTTGCGGTGATAAAGGTACACAATTCAATTAAATTAAATTCAGTACTTAGTCTGTAATCCTGTTATACTAATATATTATACCAACACAATAATACGAACCATCAACGATAACACGACACATTTACATGCGTGGAAACGCATCCGCTTTTTATTAGGTGCGAAATGCTACCGCCTCTGCATTTGAATATGCTCGATAGACTATTGTTAATTTAACACTCTTGTCTTACTTTGTCTAAACAATACGTCAATTATCTTCAGAATGGTAATTGATGGTTAAGAAAGATTCTCTAGTACTGATCACGTGAAAGTAATGATTCCGTCATTAAGATGGAGTGACTGCCTGGAGTAAAAAATGTAGGGAACGCGAAGGATGCAGGTGGCTCTGTACGGTATTTTAGGAAATAATGAGAAAATACGCAGCAGTGAAAGATGGATAGGTTAAAGTGATGATGATGAAATATCATAATCATAACCCAACATCATTAACATGACACTTCAGTCATGAATTTGAAATTAATTCTATGAAACCACTATTGTATTCTTCCACTGGTTTATTAAATTTATTACAAGTCATTCCCGATCAAGAAATAGCAAGTACATATTTTTATTCAACCGGTTTCACTGTATATGTATATGAAGGTTTTATACCTGAAGGAGACTTCGTAGTAACTCGTTTATATGGATATGAAATAATATATATAAAAAATACTTGACTTACTAAGGCCAAACTAAGCAGAACTTGTACTATGTAGACAATAGACAGAAATACTTAAATACTTTAACTACCCAGACTAGGGGAGAAAGGGATTGTTAGTAATGAGAATTTTTCTAGTTCCATTATCAGCAATATACCTTATCAGGTCGACCTCCACTTGGTTTCCCCTGGAAACCATCGTGGTAAATTCTTGTGAAGTTTATCATGATGGGCTACCTGGCCTGCTTTCATTCTTAACTATCATCCCGAACTGGTACCCTGCTAGCGTATACCGATAGCGTAGGCGGGGTTACCATTCCATTATCATCCCACAAAAACAAACACCCAAATCAAAATATGCAGATACAGAGGGAGACTTTGTACAAAAGTCGATTGCTTGGGTACCTCTGTCCTATTCGTGTTTCAACCGTGAAGCAGCTGTGTTTGCATGGCTGTGTTTCGGTTTGAAGGGTGGGATATGGCGTGAATTTACTGGGTACAGAGGAATAACACCTGAGTCCTCAGGAATGGTAACGCATGAGGAGTATCATGGGCAAAACAGTATACTCTGTTATGTCCGTCCATGGTACTGCTCATGTCTATAGGCGACGGTTACCACTTTCCACCAGGTGGACCGTCACCTTGTTTGCCATTCTAAGTAGTATAAAAAAAAAAAAAAAAACCTGCGACCATCGGCTGGCGCTGTATTAAATCATTAAGATCGTCATTTTTCTGGCTAAACAATAAATAAATTACTATTTTTATGGCTTCGATTTGATGAGTTAAAGCATTGAGACAGAAGATATTCATATTACAAGGATTCTATGGATTATCTACAACTAGAGTTGTCACCTTTAGTGTTAAAGTCCTTTATAGGTTACAATAGCCGTTTTACGTTTTACAAACAAAGGCAAGATAATATCAAATCCACGTCCCATTATTTATTTGGTTGACCGTCCTGCATTACTGAAATAAAAGTCTAAATTTAGAAATGTAAAAAAGCATCTGTCAACTCGATACCTGCGATGGGATTAATAATTTAGGATTTCCAAACGCAGGGTTACGTATTAAAAGTTCGTTTGCAAATATAAAATCCAGTGTATAATGGAAATAGAGCCTAAGAAAACTATAAATGTGACTTTAATGTGTATTTATAAATATATACTCGTAAGAAATCGACCTTCCTCGGTTGGAATGGTAGTCGTTTTGTTGGCGGTCGTTCTGTGGTTTCGCGGTATGTTTTATAAGAACAGTCTTATCCAGTGATTCTCAACCTTTTTTTTTGTTGCGCCACATATTTAGCGATTTCAAAATTTGGCGGCACACAAAGAAAAAGATAAAAATTATTTACTTACTACAACACACTGCATAAATAGTTTATGACAAAAAATTTAAATATTTGCAAAATTTGGCGGCACACTTTTAAAATTTGGCGGCACACAAAAGTGCCGCGGCACAGTGGTTGAGAATCACTGGTCTTATCCATAAAAGCGTATTATGTGACAGCAATCTCGATCGAATATCTTCTTTACAGTGGCACAACGTCTTTGATAATGGGTTTTTAATTTGTATGAAATAGATAAGCTAAGTTAAGCATATGACCTCGGTACAAACATAAAAAAATACTTTTGAAATGGAGGAGCATGGGTTTTTTCGTAGAACACAATTTTAAATTATTACTATTGCATTTGAGCTGCGAGCTATGAACACAAAAATTAAGTCACTAAATATATATATTTGGAAAATCAGTTTATATAAAATGTAATAAAATTTTATTGTATATACAATACCTTTTTTTTTTTCAAGTAATCATACCTACGTACGTTAAATATATTAATATATTCACATTTAATTAACTATCCGTTTAAAATTCATATTTTTAATCATATGATTTAGAAATCTAAATCGCCTATTTTTGGAAACACTGTTTAATTAAAATATGTCCATTAACGTTTAATCACTAAATGGATTATGGAAATTACAGTAAATACACGTACTTATTGATAAAGAAAATTCCTGTCATAACTGTAGCATATTTATCAAGTTACTTTTATATCAGTTACGTTACTTATCGATATGATACGGCATCATAAGGCAATGTTTAGGTAAAAAAAATATTTAGGTCTCTCCTATTGTAACTACCTATGCAAAGTTGGTCAAGGTGTTCCTATCAAGAGGACATTTATTTATTTATACATTATTGTATACAAAACACATTGTTTTAAATTATATTAAAAAATAAAGATGTACAACAGGCGTGCATAACTCTGTAAGAGTTCCCTTCCAGCAAACCCTGAGCGGAAAGGAGCATTTATTACCATTTAATGATAGTTTTTATTAAACTAAATAAATTTTCTAAATGTTGGTGTCGTAAAGGAACTTAATGGTCTAGGAATGGGCAACAGCGTCCCTTTCAGAACATTACCAAAGCCTAACTGCGCCTGTAAATCCGTCTGAAAAGCGTGGCAATTACTGGCAAAAACCTCCTTTTCGGGGAGACCTTATGTTTAGTAGTGGACAATTAATGACTGATATAATGATGATGATGATGATGATGAGTGTAACGATTTCGTATTTTGGACGTTCCTAATAAAAATATATACCTAAGTACTAACGCGTTTATTTATAATATAGCTATCCACATATTTATTTCTGTTGTATGAGGAAAACGGTTCATAGTATAAACAAATACATATATGTATAAATAAGTATTTTTTTATGGTGATTTAATGGAATGGTAACCTCGCCCGCGCTATCGGTATACACTGGTGGGACACCAGTGAGAGATGATAGATGAGGATGAAGCAGGTCAGTTAGCCCATCGTGACGAATTCTACAAGAATTGTACACGAATTGGAGGTCGACCTGAATTGTATTGAAGGTGTATTGCTAGCAACGGGTTCATTAGACTTCACTACTAACAAACCCTTTTCCCTTATAAATAAGTATTGCATGTAAGTATATACCAGGTGTACGTGGTAGGGTCTTTCTGGTGTGGGAGCTCCCACATCAATTTCAATGAATTTCGATTTCAATGAAAAACTCTTCTTTTCATAATCATCCGACTTCAAAGAGTATTAATTTCTCAATTTGGCTGTATTTTTTTTAATGTTTGTTACCCCATAATTCTGGCAGTTGTAAACCGATTTGGAAAAGTCTTTTTACATATCGTCATAGTCGTAGAATACTGACGGATCTTTATTTGTAATCTTTGTCAGATCCGTCAGTATTCTACGACTATAACGATATATATAGGATATACCTACTTGCCGATTGGCCCCATAGAAATTTTTATAAAATCGGTTTAGTAGTTTAGTTTTTAAATCAAAGTAGCAAGTTTTGTCTCATTGAAATCGATTATTTTTTTTTCTTGTGAAACAATCTTAATTACTGTTTGAAATTTATTTTGCGTACCACGTCTGTACAACATTATAAGCCGCCATCTAGAAATAGACAGAGCATGTGACAGAGCACACAGGCGATATAATGGTGGTTCAGTATGACTAAACCATGTAACTTTATCCTTATAGTTTGTATTTAAAAAACATATTTTCATTTACAATATAATATGGGGAATTTTCAAGAATGTGCCTACAAACATTTGAAAGGTCGGCAACGCACAAGTGACTTCTTTCGTGTTGCAGGTGTTCATAGGCGACGGTAGCCGCTTTCCATCAGATGGACAGTCTGCTTGTTTGCCTCCCTAACAATAAAAAAATCTATTAATATAACATTAGCAAATAACTTTGTAAAGATGTTCGGATTTTTTTTTATACAACTTAGAATGGCAAACTAGCTGACGGCCCACCTAATGGAAAGTGGTAACCGTCGCCTATAGACATGAGCAGTACCATGGGCATAACAGAGTATACCGTTTCGCCCATGATATCCCCCATGCGTTGCCATTCCTGAGGACTCAGGTGTTATTCCTCTATACCCTGTAAATTCACACCATATCCCACCCATCAAACCGAAACACAGCCATGCAAACACAACGGTAGAAACACGAATGGGATGTTATTTACCAAATTTATTTTATTTTATCTTTAGACCATATACTAAATTAATGCAAAGATATTTTTAATCCTTATTCACACAAGCAAACATACAAAATACAGCCAGTAAAAGATAATTGTTTAAAACAAAATACGACTTTTTTGTTACCTATATCTATGAAATAAATGTTTTTTTTTTTTGTTTTCTCCGTGTATAATGTCTATTAAGGACATTTAATAGTCGAGGGATAGGCAACAGTGTCCTTCTTAAAACAACACCAAAGCCCAAATGAAGTTGCCAATTTATTTGCCAAGCGTTGCAACTACTGGCATGACCGTCCTTATGGGAGAGACCTATGTTTAGCGGTGGAGAATTAACGGCTGCTAAAACAATAATAATGTCCACAAATGAATTTCCTCAAATATAAATATACACATATGTATAATAGTTTTCATTTTTTGTTATTTTTTCCTCTATGAATCGATAAACACAGTTCAATGTAACGCTACTTATCTACTGATATTAAAATTGTGGAGCTACGATATTAAAAATAACATAATTTATTGCGGGCAATATAATTCATATTTTATATCACTCTCAAATATATAAATATTTCTTGTTAATTAATTATTTATAATATGAAAGATATATTTGTATTCGTATAATTAATATTGTGAAAATAAATAAATTAAAAAAGATAAAAATCTTGTATCGTATACAATATTTTGTGATATAACCGGATCAATAAACTTTCGAATTACCATTTATGTTCCGGGTATTTCAATACCTAATTCTATGCAGGTATTCTAAATCCATAATATACGTAATTATATAAAAAGTGTATATATTATTTTGTTTACATACATACATACATATCTGTCACGCCTGTCTCCCATTAGGGTAGGCAGAAACAATGGAACGCCAAATGCTTAGATTCAAACAAACCTCTTTCGCTTCTTCCTTCTTCTTCTTATTTTGTTTATGCTTATTATAATATTAAGAATATATTAATAAACTTGAATATGTGGCGAGTTCTAATTAATTTTGATAAATATTTCCTTGTAATACAATATTTATTATTAATAATATATTTTACTTATAATTATTAATAATATTGTAGTAAACAACTGACGTCAACGTATGTTACGAATTTATATACATAGGTGAGTATGTACATAACGTCAAGTACTATCCCTATTATTATGATAATAATAATTAATAATAACATTTATTTGTAAGTTCCAATCACATAGATATACATATATACATATCTGTCACGCCTGTCTCCCATTATGGTAGGCAGAAACAATGGAACGCCAAATGCTTCGATTCAAACAAACCTCTTTCGCTTCTTCCACATTCATCAATCTTGTCATACACGCTCACCGGTTACGGGTGCTTTTAATTTGGCCCTTCTTCAGCACGTCGCCTATTTGGTCAACATACGTTCGTCTAGGGTGGACCCTACCGACATTTCCATTCATTCTTGCTCGATAAATCTCTTAAAATATTATAATAAAAAATAATGAATCATAGTTTTAGAGAAAAAAAAAAAAACAATTCTTCTTCCTTTTATTTTAAATCCTTTACTGTTCAGGCAGTTTGCCTATGGAACTCACTACCTACCTCTATTCGGTGCGCTCAAACTCTTACTAGCTTCAAAACCTCTGTTAAATCCTACTACCTCTCACTTGAGTACTATGTATGTATGTATATATGTATGTATATATGTTTGTATATGATAATATTTATATAATAGTGCGCCACCTACCCTTTGTCTTTTTCTCAATGTCCTCTACCCAAAGGTTGTCTGGAAGAGATTGCTTAGCAATAAGGCTGCCTTTTGTATCTCTTCTCAATAATATTTAATGTATTTGTTATTTCTCTTTTTACTTGGTGCAATAAAGTGTAAATAAATAAATAAATAAAAATAAATAAATGCCGCAACAACACAAAAAGGCCACAACTCAATTTGTAGCTTTGCCCTTTTAGGCAAAACACTGGTTTTCTGTCATGATCTGCAGTCAAAATATGGGATGTGTAAGCGATGATCCTTACATGTTTCATCATCATATCAGCCATTATCTGTCCACTGCTGGACATAAGCTTCCACTTTGGTGGGGTTTTGCCAATAGTTGCCACGC